ATGCTACTAATGCCAATACAGCCACAGAACTATACAGAGGCCAGGACTTCTGATATGGGTCATTTTCGTCATGTTTTCCACCTGTCTGTTAATCTCCCGTGCTTGCTCAGTCACACCAGCCCTCTTAAATGTGTCTCATGCCTGGCTGGAGGACTCTACTATCAGAAGAGGCCTATTAGCAATGCACAGGGAAACATTTTGTAACACTCTGAAGGATCAGATAAGACATTATCCTGGGAAAATGATTAATTTATACAGGCTTGTAAAGTGGAGTCAGAAAAGGTGTTAAGCTGTGAACAGATCTATGGTGTGATGGAAGGGTGAGTCAGACTGGAACTGTCAGTAAAAGAGCTGCCAGTTCTTCAGCATGGCCCCTGTACACTGCAGACAAGGTGAAGGACAGGCAGAAGCTAACTACCAGCCTGACCAGACCTATCACCATTGTCTGACAACTGCAGAGAAATAGCTCACATACAATAATCAAGCCCTAGTCATTTTTCCCCATAATATACAAGTTTTTTTTTTCCCCATCTAGGCACTTTTCCTTCTCCCTCTTTACCCACATTGTGCATTAAAAATAAGTTTTCCTTGAGGAAGGAATAGATTTAGATTAAATGCAGTTGAAACAAGGAATCAAAGTGATTATTTGCTCTTCCCATTAACTCTACCTTAGCCCACTGTGCTTTCATGCTGTCCACAACTCAAGTACATTTATGTAACTTATTATGTGCATAAGAACCCATGCCACAAATATTTAATTTGTGTGGAGGCGATGGTAGAAAACAAAAAACAATGATCTAGACTGGAGTCCCATGGTGATATGTAATCTAAATTAATACATGATTCATTCTGGACAAGATTCAAGAATATATAAAAGGAGGTAGTTGTCCCTGCACCTAGAAATGAGCTTGTCCCTTCCAACATGACTTTGATTGGGTTGAAGAGCAGAAGGACAGTGCTGCCTGCCAGGTATTACCTGACAATGAAGATGAATATTTGCCAAAACATTTGCTTTCCAGACCCCTATTCAACTAAACCACTGAAAAGATAAAAGACACCTGTCTTTGTTTACTTTACAAATAATGGGATCTTTGTGTATTGAGGTTGTGAAAGTCAACGTCCTTTCCAGCTTTTTTTTCATCCTTTTTTCACATCCTAAAACGTATTAGGTTGTTTTGCACTCCAGCACGCCTGGTTTCAATGATTTGCAACGGGCCTTCTGGTTTGTTTTAGCATTGCTGTAGCTAAATTAAACAGCACAGTTTAATTTCATCAGAAATCAGCTTTGTCAAAGCAGCAGCTGCAGTAGCAGAGCTCCTGTCCTCCCTCTGCTCAGCGGGTAGAGAGGGCCTGTACTTTCCACAAGCCGCCCAGCCCAAGCAGCAGGGACGCAAGGTGAAACCTGATAAGAGCTGGGTCTGCGAAGGAGGGCAGGGGTGATAAGAAAACTGGACAAAGAGCATTCAAGTGACATTACTAAATGCAAACTATGTCGTCTGGCAAGCTACAGCAGTGGGGGTTGGGATGCTTTGCCAAAGTATGCTAAGTCAACCATAAAACCTTAGCCTTGACAGACCTGAGAAACGCAAAGCAATCAGACACACTATGTCCTGTCCATTTTGCACAGGCTTACATGTTTTCCACACAAAAAATATATAATGCTCAGGCTGCAGTGCAGCGTTTATTTAGAGGCATGATCTCACTGCTGAGCAGCACAGGGGGCCTTGATCTGCTCTGTTTCAGACCTGGGCTGTTTCACCCCTCCTTAAGCGGCCTGGTGGTCCTGGAGTCCCCCAGGAGCACCATATTCACACCGGGGCGCAGCTCAGAGCTCCTGAGCAATCCGCCAGCTTCAGACTCTCATTAGCCTGGATTACAGGCTCTCACCATGGGTTTTTGTATGTAACTGCCATGGAAGCCTCTCAAAACCTCTTCCTTGCACCACTCCCAAGACATAAGGGCCCCAGGCTCTTCTTGCGCAGGTACTTTTCTGCTGGGTGTGTGCCGAACCATCCCATTCAAACACTAGCTCCTCAACATGTTCTGAATCTGGCTCAAAACAAGGCGGTCCGTGGGCAGGGTTATTGATTTTCTTCATTACATTTGCGCATTAACATCGTGTTTCAGCGCTGTTTGAGAAAGACAAACGATCTGGGATGCAGGGAGTTGAAACAGAGTAAAATCACAACCTTGGGGCCCTGAAGGAGCTTTTAGTTTCTCTGTAGGCAGAAGATGTATTCAGGCAAAGATGGAATATTCTATTGGCAAGTTGAGGACAGATTGGATATTTATAGGAACTAATCTGTCCAAACATATTTAAATAAGTGAATAAATACTGAAGACAACTTATAATAAATCACTAGCTTCACATGAAATGAAAGGGGAAAAAAAGAAATGCTTCTGCTTGAATTTACTTTCTGTTTTTAAGCGCAGCCAGTTATGATTCACCGTTTCCTCTAGTTACAGATTTGTGTGCTGATGGGACTCCACCTAAACCAGGCTTTTCTATTCTTGGGGATGTGCTAGGAGATGATGGCTTTTATAAAAATGCCAGCCTGATCTCCTTGAGAAGCATGTTTCAACACACGTAAAAATGATTAAGGCACTGTGACACAAACTGCACGTAGATGCTATTACACTTCAGTCCCAAATCCTTAACACACCAATACCCAGTCATTGTTCCCTCTGCCCATTTCCTTTCTGAGCCACTCGCAACAGGTGGTAGGTAGAAAATAAAAGGAGCACTGAAGCATAACAAAAACCTGCGCGGCTATCAAATATACACCATCAGCACCAATTAATCTTGGGATTCCAACTCAGATGATTTCCATTTCAATGTTCTTCAGTGCAGATCTTAAATTAATTTTTGTTGTATTTCTTTACCTGTCCACATGTGTGGTATACGTCAGACCCAAGAGAAATATGAAGAAAAGACATGATGGTTTGACCAAAAGTAATTGTAATTTTCAGGATTAAGTAGATTCCTGTTGGACCATCCAACAGGACACCTGGAGGAGTTCCTAAAAGTAGTACATAAAACGGGAGAGAGCTCACTAGTATACAGTACTGACACTTCTTACTTAAAAAAAAAATTATATTGGTATAAAGTCACATTCTGTTCCTTCCCTACATAATAAGTAGGCTTTAGCATGACACTTGCACTTTCAAATGGATTTCAAGAGCTGTACAAATCTTGAAGAATTCCTAACCACATTAACTCGCACAGTGGACAACTATGTGGGTTCTGATGATGTAGGTCTATACTAAATAATAAGCCTATCCTTTTGTTGCTTGCTATTTATTGTCTGAAGCTATCAGAGCTGAGCCTTCACCCAGGTCATGTGACCTTTGTTCTTAAAGTAGAGAAGAACTTGAATTGCAGGACGCAATCTCCACATCTGACATGGCCAATGTATGAGCCAGCCATTGTAACTGTGGTGTCTTTTGTTCTTTCAGAAGAATGGGGTGTGTGGTATTGTACATGTGATGCAGTAACTGCTAACATGATTGTGCAGGTCACAGACTATGTCCGGGAATAAAGAGAAAAGGGAAAACTGTTTCAGCTCATCTCACACTATACCACAGAAGGAGGACAGGGAATTTCGACTGGAAAATACTTAGTTTCTCATTAGTCACATATCTTTAAGATTGTGGTTTCTAATTTTGTATATTCATACTCCGTGAAAATACAGCTTACAAAACCGATATGAATAGTGTAACCTAAAAATGTAGTACTGTCGTGTTGAGCCCCTGCTACAGTAGCTACTTTTTCATGAATGTTTTAAAGTATGTTTTAAATATTGAAAAAAGATAAGGAATTGGGAAATATTTTGTAACTCAATGAAAACTTGCAATCATTCTATCTAAATGTCAAACTGTTAACTAGAGAAGGACGCATTTGCCTTTTTGTGTGATGCAAAACAAACCAGTCCAGCCACAAAAACATGTTTTCACCACAAACACTACAGCACTGGCAGGTCCCAGCAGTATCCACAGGTGTGCCACACCAGGTGTGCTGTTTGGTGTGTTGGTGTCGCCCTCACGGTGGAGGAAGGGAGGCGATGGGAGATGGGAGTCTCGTGAGGAGGGCAGCACACCCCACCGAGTGTTTATTCCAAAAACAAGCACAGAAGGCTCTTAAGGATCCTCCCAATGAAACAATTTTCCAATTACGAGAAATGAGGTACAGGCATACACCTTGAGTGTAGATGTCTGGCTTAAATTAACTGTCTTGAAATATAGATAAAATGTTTTTTTAGAGGGTGCGACACATGACAGTATTTTGTTGTGCTCTGGGTGATCACATCTGGTCTTTATAAGCTGTGTGTGAACCTACAGGAGGCCTACATTATTGTCGCACAAATGGGCTAGATTCAGTTTTATTAACATACATGGAACACAAAAAAAAACCCTCCAGGAATACACTGTAAATTGCATTTGCAGAAACATGCGCCTTTGTTAAAGCCACAATCATTCTGAGGAATGAATGAGCACTATATGGGCACACCAATGGATTAATGAATGGGCACTATATGGGCACACCAATGGATTAATGAATGGGCACTATCGCTCGCACTCCACCATGCTTCCACAACGCCATAATCACTCTTTGTATTCTTCGCACTGCCTCCGGGCCGTTCATGTGCAGTCTGGCGCTAGAGTGCATGTCCAAGGGAGTGACGCATTGCAGGTACAAACGCACCAATCAGAAACGGCCTTTCCCTTCCTACTCCATCCTATACGGCACTAGAACGCATAACAAGCCCGCAGCACATAGCCCTCCGCACTATCAGTTAGTTCCTGGGCTACTATCCTGCTTTTACCGCAGTTATTCTTCATAGACTAAATATAGGAATATTCATTTGTTGATATTAAACAGTAATGTATTTAAAACTACAGTTACAGTTACAGCTGCTTTTGTTCTTCAATACGTTTAGTGATTTGGGTAGAGGGGAGCTGGCGGAATGATACAAGCAGGGGGAGGTGTTTATGAACAACCGTTAAAGGCGCGTCAGGGTCAGTCTGCTTTCATCTGCTGGAGTGCGAACTTGGGAGTGTAGCTGTAGTAGCAGTCGAAAGCGATTTAGACTATCAAAATGGTGAGTATGGTCAACGTTTACTGTAATAGGGTGTAGGAGAGCGCGCCTCAATTAAGGAATTTAAACATTTACAGTAAAAGCGGCTTGATGGGATTAAATTCTTCTCTGATTTTTTTTTTTCCGGGGATGGGCAGCGCGCTCAGTCCCGCCGGTATTGCGACTCGCAAAATGTGGAGCCTAGTCAAAGATGAATTGCGTATTTTCACGGGCTCTGGAGAGGGTTTTAAGATCTCTAATTTTGACTTAAGGGTTTTTGCCGGAGAAATGCGGAACGAATGCAGGTAGCGTACTGCAATAAGACGTTTTTTCTTCTGGAGATTGACGAGTGGCCTTTGCGCTTGCTTCACAGGTTAGACTCTGGTTGTGCTGCAGTGAGTATCAGATCTGGAATGGATTGAAACTTGGTCTTTTATTGCCTTCGGACAGTGACAGTTTTATGAAAAATAATCACTCGCATGTCTGTGATGACATTAACCCCCGAGCTTTTCCTGTTTGCGCAACCCTGAGCCATCTATATTGCTGCAAAAGGTACTCGTTTTAGGGAAAATTGTTATTTTCTTACGAAAGCGTGGCTGGCTAGCTCCTGTTAGCCTTGACGTTCGAGTTCGCAGTCCTTCTGAAAACGGTGGGTAAGCTTGTACGCTACAAACCGGAAAAGACTTCCTCAACCACACCTAGTTCTGCTGTTAATGAGATGTTAAGTTATGATGCAATGCTCGGCTTGTTTCCTTTCAGCGTTTCGAAGCTTTAATTCAGGTCGACGGGAGCTGGTAAAAGCGTGGCGCTGGTCGCGGAGCGAGCGTGGCTCAATCGTGGGTCTGTCGCGCTGGGAATCGGTGTTGATGCGTCACTTTCCTTTCCATGACACGAACTTAATCGCAATCACACTAGGGCTTTTGTTTTAGGGCGATTGCTTTTTCCGTTTGCAAGACGAGCGGTTGTAGTCTGCATGCATCTTCTGCGTTTCTGTAGTCTGGATTTGGCGCTCTTAAAGCAAGTCTTTCAAGTAGGCATCCGCACATGCCGACCGAAGGGTTTCTATCTTGGGAGACTCTGTTCTATTGCACCTTCGCAGATAATGACAGAAAAGCGGCTTTGACCGCCGACGGGCTCAGGTGCGTTTTTCTTTTCAACGTTGCGGCCGCCGCTCGGAGGGTTAGGGGGAGCACCGGGAGATCGTGGGTCATCCGGGGTGACTGGCGTGTGAAAGGCAGGCGATCAGAGCACGTCTAGGAGGGAGAAAGAGAGCCCGCTCTGTTGAAAGGGTCGTCAGTCAATATTTCTAGTTTGACACCCTTTCAAGAATTTCTCTAAAATGATGAGACTATGTATAAGCCCTTGGGTTACATTTACTGGTATGTTTAATATTGAATATTCGACTTGTAAATGTGGGAGTACTATTATAACCAGATCTTTTTTTTTTTTTTTATACAGGCTGATCAACTGACAGAAGAGCAGATTGCTGGTAAGCCCTTTTTTGCATGTGGTGTGTGGCCTGGTTTCTAGAAGCTCTGACCGATTCGTAGTCTTCCCTTGCAGCTTGGATTAGTTATTCTTTGCCTTTTAAGGCAGACCCTGGGTCAAGTTACGCATCAAGTCCTTTAGAGACACTCTGTATGCAGTTTATACGCGGACTTGAGTACCAGGAGAATACTTTCTGCCAAACTAGCAGGAATTTTAAAAATGAATCGTGGCCTTTTTTTGGTAAAGAAGCATTGTATAGACGCATTACAAACTTATCTAGGTGTAATTGGTAAATGTCTCTAAATCATTCATTAAAATGTTATCCCTCCTTCCCCTCATATTTAAAGGTGGCTTTATAATCAACTGGGTTTCTAAAGTACTTGTGTGTAGGTGGTGTGATGTCAAAATGTTCAGGTTGATGAGTAAGCACGTGGTATGACACTTCAGCTACAGCAGGATAGAGATTGGATACAAGCTTTTACAGAAATACACCTAAGTGTATTCCAAATTCAGCTTTATGCAGGACACTGAAGGTGGTGTGCTTTATGTAGTACATGGCATCTTCCTCCTGTCCATTTAAAGTGCACATGAATAATTTCTTGCCAGGCCTGTTGTCTTCCCAAACCTTTTGAACCTTTAGTTTCATGTTCAACTGTAGAATATATACTACAGCACTTATGTAATGTTCATGCAGATTGCATAAACATCTGCATTAAAACTAATTTTAGTCACAGCTCTGTATCTCTTGCAAGGTTTAGGCTTTAGCTCTTTAAAGCGTCAGGAAATTGTTTTGCATTTGTTTCTGGTTCTGTGTTCCTGAATAGCACAACCTTTATTCTTCAGAAGGTATTGGTACATAATGAGAGTTTTGTATTTGCCCTGTGTCCTTTAGATGTAGTTACAAGTACAGTCAGTGTAACATTCATCCTGGTACTGAAACATGAAGGCTTGCTATAGGTGATAATGCTAGATTTTGTGTACAGACGCCAAGGCCATCTGGCCCAACTAAGGTTATAGTCTTAATCCTGAAAATCATGTTTTACTGTTCTCCAAAGTTGTTTGTGTAGAGCCGTGGACGGTTTAGGACAACTTTTAACAAAGACATCCAAGATGACCAAAAGTGAGAAATAAAGACTTCCTTAAGTTCCAGTGTCAGATGTCATGTATTAGCTCTTTGGTTTTGGTGAAATACTTCATGTATTGTGGTTGCTTGAATATGTCATTGAAAGATCCATTCTTTGAATTATTGGCAACTTTAATTTCTTTACTCTGGAAAGCTTGTACAACATGAAAATGCAGCAGTTAATTGTATAAACCTGTCATTAGTCAGATTGGGAACTTCTTATCTAATGACCTAAATGCATTTAAGTTTAACTGTAGAATTATCTAAAGCAGTGGTATGCTGACTCTTAACCTGGACTGGTGCTGTTTTTTTTGCATAACCATTAATAAACAAATTTAGTGAGTGAATAAAATCTAAATATCCAAGTTGTATTGATAACTTACACAGGTAATCCAAGGCCTTTCAGTTTCCAATCTTTGGGAAATACTTCAGGGTGGCCAATAATGCTTAATGGATTGGAGCTCCCCAGCAGTAAAAAGTGGTCCAGCCTGTAGTATAGTGTTGGACCTATTTAGTTTCTATTGGTAAATACCTCCGAATGAAAAAAGTTTCATGGGGTCTTGCACATTAATGGCTGGAGAAAGTGTTGGTGTATGTATAGAATATTGGGGAAAGTAAAGTCAGGCTGTTTTCCTATGCTGCTGACTGCAACAGCTTAGTACAGTATTACAGTGATAGTAATGATCATTGTTGTAAGCCTGAAATGGTTCAGTATAGGTCATCAACCAGAAAAGCTGGCTCACAGTTTCACATCAGTGTGAAACTCTCCAAGCCACAGTCATGTTTATTGTAATTTCACTACTGGGAAGTGAAAATGTGGAGACCAATGGCCTATGGTGGGGAAAAGCACTAGAAATTGTTCATGCTGTGGACTGTTCTTCCTGATGAAGGTCAAACCTTGTGCTCCATTTGATAAAAGGCATTGTAGCTGTAACCTGTGCTACAGGTATTGCTGGGCAGAGATTGGCCAATCTTTGTTCTACTGAGAAGCCCAGTTCAGTTGACCATGCTGGGTTGTCCCTGCAGCAAACATGGTCTACATTGTACAGGATTCAGAAATAAAGATTCAGAAAATGCCTTTCAGGCTCTGTCAATAAGTACATTTATAGTTTGTTGCTGTAATAAGTCTTGTTGTGCCCCATGAAAGATAAAAAAGTGGTTCCTAGAAGATATGGAAGTTGTTTCACACTTAAACGGAGTGCAAAGATTTACTTTCAGCCATGTAGAAAGCCCTTTATGCTTGAAAATGGAACCATTAGAATAAAGATGTATTAATTTGTGCAGACAGTTTGGTTTATAGCAGATGGTTCTTTTATGGTCTTGGCAGTTTTAAAAACTTAACCTTTTCCACTTTTGTAACCTTTCCCTCTCTCAGAATTCAAAGAGGCATTTTCACTATTTGATAAGGATGGAGATGGAACCATCACAACAAAAGAGCTGGGAACAGTCATGAGGTCACTGGGTCAGAACCCTACAGAAGCGGAGTTGCAGGATATGATCAATGAAGTTGATGCTGATGGTGAGTTTTTTTTCTTCTTATTACAAGTTTTATCTGCTTATTCTTCAACTTTTCAGCTCAATTTCTGTTCTTGTTGCTGCAGGTAATGGAACAATAGACTTCCCTGAGTTTCTCACTATGATGGCAAGAAAAATGAAAGACACAGACAGTGAAGAGGAAATCAGAGAAGCATTCCGTGTTTTTGACAAGGTACTGGTCTTCTAGCAATAAGGTAGCACCCCAAGCTTATATCAGCAATATCAAAATGGGGACATGGAGTAATTTTCAAGCTTAGTTATTTAAAAAAAAGTACTTGTTCTAAAGCATTAGAATGCTGAACTATCTGTTCATTTTTTGGGATTTTCCTTGCAAGAGTTTAGACCCCACACACAGCACAGTAATTGTAAAGTTCTGAAATCAGATTGGAACAGTCAACTTTGTGGTATCTGCATTCCAGGATGGTAATGGGTATATCAGTGCTGCTGAGTTGCGCCATGTGATGACAAACCTTGGGGAGAAGCTAACAGATGAAGAAGTTGATGAAATGATCAGGGAAGCAGATATTGATGGAGATGGTCAAGTCAACTATGAAGGTAGGTGTATATCCTCCATGCACCCTTTGTGCTCCTTTTGAGGTAAAATAAGGAGACTGAGGAGACTTAAACCTTCTGACTTGATTTGCTCAAATGGTCAGTGGAGATCGTGATATGTTAGTAAAAATGTAACAATTCACTTCCAACTTCTATGAAAGTGTGTTCCTTCATTAATGTTGAGGGCAAAATAGTAGCAATTGGTTAACAAGTGTTTTTCTGTTTTGATAGTGACTGGATATTTAAAAGGACTGTTGTATTCCTTTCTGTATTGAAGATCAAGTATTTATGGAATTTAGGTGAAGATCACTCCAAAATCTAGAAATGTTATATCTTGAGGCTTATTGTAGTGCTTGTACAGTCAAGCACTGGTTTAAAGTACCAGAGATGACAATTTTAAAGTGAATAACTAGGATGAGAGAAAGCAGCCTGTCAGTCAATTGTCTCCAAGCAAGGTTTAAAGAAATTAGTAAGAGGGTAAAAATCTTGATGTACAAATTGTCAGCTGATCTTATAGAGCAGTTAAGGTACAAAGTTCATCTTTGAATGCAGCTGTAAAAGCATAATGTGTAGAATGTCTTGACCCTGTATCTTTAATTTTTTTCTTTTTGCAGAGTTTGTACAAATGATGACAGCGAAGTGAAGGCCTTGTACAGAATTTTTTTTTCTTGTATAAAATTTGCCTTTTCTTTGTTTGTAATTTATCTGTAAAATGTTTATTCCCCCTGCTGTCCAAAGGAACTGCATGTAAACTATTTAGGATTCAAGTCCTCATGTCCCTTTTTATTTTGCTGTCATCGTATTTTGAGTCAAGATGCGGTCAAGTTAACAGGTGTTGCATGTGACTTGAAATGGAGTGCATCCAAATCTGCACAATGAACTACCACAGCTTGAAGCAAGACATCATCTTGGTCCACCTGTTGAAGTTGGATGTCACTTGGCAACAATGTTGGCATGTAAACATTTTAATGTGGAGTAGTTACTCTGCATGGACTATGGACAAAGTATATATGAATTTTTCTCAGCATTGCACTATTGCAAAACGGGTGTATCATCCAGGTACTCGTACACTAACTCTTTTTGTATTTGCTGTTCTGTACCAGAGAACTCTTGTTCTATTCTTACTATGCTTTTTAAAGTTTTAGTCACTTGTTTTTTTCTTTTTTTTAACTGCTTATGGCACAAACATGCCTCAAAGAATCCATTCCAAGTTGTATATTTTTGTTTTCCAATAAAATTTACAATTTACCCAAATTTAAGTGTGTTTATTTAGGTACTTTTGTTTTAATGACCTTCAATAAAAGTCTCAAGTAACCTCAACCTTGGTTCTAGTTTTTTAAATGGTTCACCTTCATCCTCGGCAAAGTTGATTTGTGTTGGGCAACAGATAAGATGTAGTCAGTCATTCTGACTTGTCCTTTTTTTCCTGCCTGTGCTATCTGTATACATAAAATTGCAGAAGCAGCAACCTCTCCCAACTTTGAGCAATTTAAATTCTTGTGAGCTGCTGGTAATTCAGAACATCTTACAATTGCAGACCTCTAACATATTAATGTGACTTATAGTAAAAAGTGAGGGCGGAGACAACACTGAACTCACTGTAATCAGAAGTAGGGGGAAAGTACTAATTTGGCCTTTTAAGGGTTGGGCATGGGATTACTTCCAGCATTTACAAAGCCCATTCCTTAATGGTACATGGATCAGTTTCAAAACTTCACACTTGCATATATGCTTTTTAACCTTACAGCATTCAACTGTCTCCAACATCCATAGGCCTAGTCCTACCCCTGCTGGTGCATTTCTAACATAATTCAAGGAAATGAGGTCACTGAAAAAAGTCCTTCTTACACTAGTAACTGTCCATAAGTTTGAAAGGTTTAAAGACCAAAGAGCATAGTTATTACAACAAGTGTTCATAGGTACTCCTTCAAAATGTGTATATATCGCAGCAGTGAGGTTTTTTTCAGGTTATTTGAAGCATTTCTGTTCCTGTAATGCTAGTCTTTTAAGAGGAAGCAATAGCATTTTTATATTTGTGCATTACTTTGTAATCTATGAAAGGAGAACACTATCAATACTCACTCCTTACTAAAAAGCAATAAAAAATTCTCAGAAGTTTATTCATACCATGTAAATGTTGAAAGAAAATGTATATTTAGGTTTCTTAACATTCTTAGTCATCTGGTAGGTAGCTTTACAAAGTCCTGGTTTCTAGATGAAAGTCTTGAGACTTTTGCCCAAAGATCGGGTGACTGCAATTCTAGGGACAGCTATATATATATATAAAAATACAATCCCATGTCAAATTTGGAAGCCATCATGAAGACGATTAAGGCTAAAGGCACTAGGAAGAGGTGGAAGTTTTACCTGACCCCCAGAAAATCTGTCAGCAGTGTAGACAAACATGCATGAATGCAGAGCAACACCTCTACTAAGATTTGCAGGTTGTTTTAAATTGGCACTATTATTGTTCCTCTTGTATGAGAAGCAAATTCTGTTTCTATGAAAGGTTTACAGAAAATCCTACCATTGTTCCCTATAGGCACAATAGGGGATTCTACAAGTGTGTGAAAAAAGTAGGGGCTACACCTGGCAAGACTGTAAAGGAATTTTTATCCTGAATGTGCTCTTTATGCAACTGTAGAAAAAGGTAATGAAGTATAGAGCTTTTCTGGACATACCATTTAAAGCTTACAGGTAATGGGGACTCCCCTCCACCACCACCAATATGTAGCCCACCTGGATGATGCAACAGCAGCCAGTACACTCACCCCACATCAGTTCTCAGTGGGGAGGAGAAAAGTCATAATGCCAATTCATACAGTAGTTGGGGATTACTAGGAGGCCATGGCTGTTAAAGGCCATTGGGAAATTTGTTCAGGACACTAGTGGAGAACAGAATTTGAAAGCGTGTAGCCATCCCCCTCTCACTAAGCAGTCAGGGTGACCATATTTCGGTTTTCGGGGGGGGGGGATAATCTAAACTCGACATGACTCTAAAGAAATGGCTCTTTATTACTTTTTCTAATCAAAAAAGTAATTTAAACTCGAGTTTTTATTAAACTACTTAGTAAACTTTTAAAAAGGTGCAGGGTTGCCATTTCTCTTCCATAATGGCAAACAATGGAAAAAATATAGCCCTATTTTAAACAAAGTTTTTTTTTTCTTCATTTTAACACAACGAAAGTCTTAACATCTGAGGAACAAATGAAGACATAACTTAGGAGAAGTCCTCATTGGTTGCAAAAATGATCAAGTTTAACGAAATATAATGAAACAAGTTGAACATGGTTATTTCTTATGGCCATAAAAAACATCTACCGGCATTGCATGGAAGGAACGAAAATATGTTCTGTAGGCCTATGTTTCTTTACACAGTCTGAGTAACGAGCAAAACAAAATCCCGGACAATTTTTGGAATTTTATAAATCTCGGTCGGACCGATATTTTAGGTCTCAAAAAGAGGACATGTCCGGGAAAAACAGGACGTCTAGTCACCCCATCTGGAGCGCACACGTTTTCACCACAGCTTTTACTGAGCTATGCCCCCTACTCTTCGTTATACGTAACCAGTAACATTTTCCTTCGGTGAATGGTTATGACCAATTATACCTTTAAACTTCAAAGTTTTCACCAACAATTTACAAGAAGTAATTCATAATGACGGAGCACGACCTTTCAGTTTTTTATATATTTAAAGTTACACCCCGCCACGTATATTCATCATATCTAGGTAATTCAAGGCACATTATTGATCAATTTCTTTGGTAAAAGAAACAGTTTTTCTAAGAGCTGCACTGTTACTAATAGAACAACATGTTTCTATGCAGGAGAGCGCCTTGCTAGGTAACGATATACCTGATCCTCCCTAAAGCTTCCTACGGCTATTGAACTCGAACACCATGTAACACAAAGCCACTGGATACTGAAGACGCAAAGAAAAGAGACATGACCGCTGGTCAAGCAGGAGACACTGTAAATACAAAAGAGAGACGGGCAGTTCTTGACAAATCTCGGGATAAGGTAAGCACGCTAAAGTGCGCCCAAAAGCAAACTCCACTTTGATACTTGTATACTAATGTAATATGCAGAGGTTCAGTCTTGAATTTGTCGGTACGCTTTTTCTCAGACGTACTGCACTACAGTACATCCTTAAGTGTTTAAGGTCATATTTCATACAATGCCTTCAGATAAAAGACGCTACGTAAATTCTCAGTCAGTATTGTACACAAGACAGGAAGTAAAAAGAGCCGTTTAAAATACACAGAACATAGTATAATTCTGTGCATAATTTAGTTCCAGCTCTTACGGTAGGTTCTGAGAAACAAGGAAAGACTGATCACACGAAAAAAGTGACACTGCGCACGGGTATGCAGCCACGTCTCAGGTCTGCCAAGAAAGAATAAAAACACTTAAGATTTCATGTTTGAAAGGATCGTTTCCTCACAATTGTCAAACTGTAAAATCTAAGTGCTGCACTTACAAAGGAAAGTGGTTGTGTGGCAGGCCTTCATCCTAAACTGTGGAATCTCCAAATTGGATGCTTCATTCTTATCTGTTGCCAAAAAAAAAAACAATTAATTTTTATTTCATCTGGAATGATGGAAATCATCTGGGGAATTAAGCTGTGCTGCTCTGTAATATACCAGTGAGCAAACTTTGCCTGGATGTTAGGGAGGATTTGTACATTTTGAAAATAAGGGTGTATATAATCAGTCTGCCTGAGAGAACAATACAACACTGCATGTGATGTTATATGCATGTTAAAAGCTTCTTGTAGAGAAAATGGTACATCAAGTATCCTATTCTCTTGTATCATGCCTTTGCTCCTCAACCCTGCAGTGCAAAACATCAGTCAGGAGCATGCAGGGCATGTGGTAGCATTTTTCTCAAGTGTAGAGGGTATTATGTAAGAGTACTGATCTAGCTGCATCGACTTTGGAGATATAGATCTTCCTTGAAGTGGGAAGTGTAGAGTGCTGCACAATAAAAACAAATGCAGTACAAGGGAAAAGTGTTGAAAACTAAAGTGTACTGTTGGAAAGGTTAGGGCTTTGTGGGGCAATGTGAATGGTACATTTGTATCCTTAATTGAAGGAATCACTTCTGAAAAATTGTTTCTTGGACTTTGATAAGTGAGCATTAATATGTGGCTGAAAAAAGTGATGATTTAGTTTCCATTTTCTACAGAACAGTGAGAGGAAGGAGCTGTCAGAGCGGGATGGCTGGTGGAGAAGCGAGATTAAAGTGAGTGTCTTTCTCAAGGGGATGTCCCGAGAAGGAAGAGCGCTCCGTTAAAGACAAGTCCAACCTCTGCTTTATTACACTGGAAGAAAAGGCAGAAAGGAACATCGGGATCTGGACAAGCAAGAAAATAAAATCACAAATGTGAAATTCAATTTAATGGTTTAACCGTTACGTAAAAATTCTTTGCTACAATATAATTGTGGTTTTTGTGACTTTTCCTCTTAGTTGTGCCATTCTAATGACGAAAATACATAGTCTGCGACATCAAGTTGATAAATGGAGTTCGTGTAAAGTCATGGCCAAAAATATTGGCACCCTTACACTTTTTTCAAATCTCACCATTGTCTCTAAAAATACGTTGAAATTGACCAAAGAATTTATATACTGTAATATTACAGAACCTTTGTTTTTGATTCAGAATGTAATACATATTTATCCTTTTAAATCAGAAAAGGAAAAGAAATGACACTGACAAAATTATTGACAGATCTATAGGTTCTGTAATATTAACTGGAAAAAGAATTGTGGAGACCAAATACTTTGGTCAATTTCCACTTATTTTTAGAGTTATTTGCAAAACGTGCAAGGGTGCCAATATTTTTGGCCATGACTGTATACACTTGAATTTTTTGCACTTATTTAAGTACGATCAGTCCCTCAAATATTGCCATTGATGCTAATATCCATTTTATAAATAATTCAAACATTTTTAAAAGGGCATTATGAAGGACGCTATCGAAGAGAGATGCTGCTGGGTGTTCAGTGTTGACATCTCTACATCATACCTCTACGGTTTGATCCATGATACTATTTGTTTTGCATCTTCTGACAGCTAGCACTTTCCTTACATTAGAAGCAGAGATTGATGTGGAAAGCTTTTGAAAGGCCATTTTTCCTGTTTGTTAACTTGTTTTACTGCCCTGCCTACATTTTGCATTAATCTCTTTTTATTCATAAAAAAGAAAACAAAGTTTCCAAAGGCTTTGCTCTAAATATCAGTCATATCTCCCTGTGGAGACTTCCTGGTGTTGTGATTAGAGAGAGCTTTCAGTCTGAATAAAACATCACAGAAATCAAACAGCGAGGAGCAGTAAGAACCCTGCTGCAGTTGAGGAAAAAGGGCTTTATTCATGCACCGCGCAATGAGCTCCTGTCATTACGAGAATCAGAAACTGGCACTGATTGCAGGATAGCCTCAAAGCTCAGCCAACACCCTGCCCTTCTCACCAGCAATACACAAAATTGAGCTAATGCAAAAAAAAAAAACAAGTTCAAACTTGATGCTTGGCTGTTTGTATCTCCTGTAGTAACAATGTCCCTAATGTCACAATGCCTAAACCAACAAAGCCACATCAATGAAAGGACAGTGGCTTTGTAGTACTGAGTAAACTAACTTTGCCGTTTTGTCTTCACAGGATTCTCCAAACCCTGGGAGCTATCACATCAAGGACTTCATTGAAGAATCCCGGCTGAATCCTGTCAAAATAACATACAGCTTCAAAGGTAGTGGCAGGAAGTATCCCGTGGGTGTGGTGCGTAAGGGAGACTTCCTGTTACCAGGAGCCTACAGCCTTACCAACTTTGTACAGCAGGCCGAGAAACGGAACGCCACTTACTGCTTCAAAAACAGTCCCAGACCCAACAATTTCACACTAGGGATTAGAGACAAGGTGGGATATGGACTTAAGTGTGATGTGCAAGCCGATTTCACTTGCATTACTGAAAACCCAATTTCATGAGACAGATCAATAATCTGCAAAATAGACTGAATGGTCTAAGAGCACCAGTTTATCCATCTTAATACTATACATCTGTTTCAGGATATAGATGTCTCACCGTGTCACTACAATGTAACAGAAAAACCTGTTGTAAAGTTACCCTGCAAGTAAGTAGAATGAATATTTGTGACAATGATTTCACTCAGTTTCTGAGACTCTTTGATTTTGTAACTGTTGCCCCTCTCTCTCCCCTTTAGTCATGTGATGTTCCGATCTGCTGTTCAGCGATTGACCTTTATTCCTGTAAGTATTCACTTGATTCTACTAAATATGCTACCACTTTTCTCATTTCCCATGAGTCCTGATCTGTCAAATATAAAAGTAATTGCATTGCCTGTCCCTGAGCTCTAACTGGGTGTCTGTAAGTGATGACTGGAAGAGGGGAAGGAGTTATGCTACAGGGATGGTTTGAGCTATGAGTATTTTCAAGATTGTGCTGGGTCCAGCGACGAGGACAAAAATAAGGGTGCGAAGTCCATTTATGTTTCTTGCAATGCACCCCTTCTGTGCTATCCCATAGCTTGCCATCAAGCAAGACTCCTTTAAACTGCTGGTGCCACATTTAAATCATTTACCTATCCCTAGAGACAGGACCCATCTGTTTCTGACATCTACTTAAACTCAATTAAACCATGCTGGATGCAAATCATAAAATTACTGAAAAGCTACTCTTTTGAATGGGTTACATATGACTCAAACTCCAACAGACAGACAATCCAACAATATATATTCCAAACAAAGTTATGAAATGGACAATAGAAGAAAAAGGTATCTGACTGAAATCAAACCAGTTCATCAACCATCCAAGTTTGCAGTGCTAAGAAAAGTTATGAAAATCCTACTGTAAGTTGGTTGGTATTCTTGTTTATTTTAGACCTAAAATGTAATTCAGTTAATTCTTCATAAACATTTAATTAAAATATGAAGATAGCATCATTAAACATAACACAAATACATAAGATACATTTTTGTGTTATGGTTGTAATGTTTGTGTTATTTATGTAATTAACAAAATATTCCAACAATAAAGGTTCCTACTTAATGTATAGAGGACAAAATTACTAAAGCTTCTGACCTTTATACAAGGCTGAGCTGCCCAAACTAAATCCTTGATTTGTTTTTTATTGTGATTTTTTCCCCATCACATGATTCTAATTATCTCCTTAAATGTGCCAAGTAAGATGTTCACTTAATTCTTATAGTTATATTGTTGATTCCCAGACCTTTTTAGCACTGTACCTCTGTCTTAAAAGTTTAAGCGGTCTCAAATACCTTATCAACAAACAGAAATTCCTTTGTTCCAACTCTTTGATCCCAGTGCAGTGTACTTTTTCAGCCTAACTGGAACTGCAGACGTTTCTTTGATCTTGACAGTCTGGGAATAATAAAAAGGCTCTACCAGTTGCTTTACAAGTCCCCTCCCAATTTTATGAGTTAAACATAACAGGCAACTTTATTAACCGATGTTTTGCCATCATTTGTAAATATTTCCATGACACAACCAAAACAGGGGAAACAGTTCTCATAGTAGGAAATACTGGATGTGACACCTTTTGTCATTGGGAACTACAGCAAGAAGCACATGAAACCAAAAAAACTCTACCACTACTCTATCTAGTACACTGCTACTTTAATTTTAACATGAATAAAAAATAAACTTTCATTTTATACAGGGATACCTGTAGGTGTAGGCACATTACTGATAAACATGACAAATTAAAAGTAGGAATTTTGCCGTTTACAAGTTGTCAGGTTTCTGTAATCACTGTTGTCACAGGGCATCGGATATTAGTCAGATGGCAAGCTTGCTCTGTAGATTCTAGAATGCTGGGAGATTTCAGTGACATGATAAGAATTTGTATTTCAATAGCAATTATGACAGCAATGGTTATGCTGTGATAAATGATGAATGTTGTTTAAGTGTCCCTAGTGCACGGTTAGGTGCACTTTTTAAAATCAGTTTGACACTGCCTCAGCTCTGCCATGTGATAAACACATTCAGCCAACCAGAAGCTCAGAGTCATGTCAGACATTAATAGGACACCTTACCTATTTCTGAGTCAGTGCTCATCACGTTCACTTCGACTGCTTGGCTATTCAGACAACCAAGCTCTGACTTCTAGACTAATACGGAAGCTTTTAGAGATCACCATTGCTGCTCAAAAGGCAAAACACCTCTTAAGTGTTCCACACCACCTTTATAAAATTAGCTATGAAGAATGACATCCCTATAATCACAATATACAATATTATATGGCAATAATTTTACTGAGTAGGTGTGATTAGCAGCTCATGTTTACAGAATGAGAAAAAAAAATTCCGTCGTCATCCTAAATGTTAATTAACTAGCAGATGTTCATGTGATGCTGTACAATGATTTTCACTGACAGAGCTCTAGGTTTCTCTTCATCTTAGACCAGGACAGATCAAGACACCTATTAAGAAGTATCTTTTTGGAGGTACAGTGCTGTGCAGCAGATCCTGTTTCAGTTTAGAAGGAAAGTTAAAAAGAAACTGAACTCAATTTTAATTACTTGTAATGAGAGCATCATAGTATACAATCCCAAAGTTCCATCTCTGAAAAATATTTTTGCAGGTGTACTGCTGTATGTGAACATTACCCCCATTGCTTGGGTATTTCTCTTTTAAGGGATCCACAGGCAAGCAGAGATAAATCTGTTTGCTTAATCAGTGTGGCACAATACTGTCTAATCTGCTTAATCCTCTTGGAAGTGGAGTAGGAAATCATTAATTTCTTCAGTAGTACAGAGCAAAACCAGACTGCATTCAAGCCAGTGCGGTTTTAAAGTTATCCCATCCAGCCCCTGGCCACAGCTGCTTCCTCCTATAGCTCATTGTGGGCAGCTGGGGTCTATCTCAGCTGACACAGGGTAGATGAAAAAACAAACCCCTGGACAGGATGCCGTTGTGCAATAGGGCACACACATGGGGACTTTATGGAGATGCCAAGGAAACTCGAACAAACATGTATTTAAAGGGTGGGTAGTAAACGGAACCTGCATAAAACTCCATCCACAATCCAGCCCAGGACCCTAAGAAATGGATCTGTAAGAACTGCAAGATCATGCCCCAAGCCAGCAGCACCATCCACCATACCATGTTTAAGTGTTGCTATATTCATGAATGAAACGCATGTTCCTTGGCCAAAATTTGAAGAGCCCTCCCGTCAAATGAATGTACTCTTTCACTGACAGGCCATGCGTGGCTGAGAGAGACTCCCTTCAATGTACCAAGGCAAAACAGTCCCCAGCTCTCAATCCTGTTGAACACGGGAAAATACTGCTTTTTTAACCCCCCATTTCATGTTACTTTCTTTAACAGGAATTTTTGCTAAACTACCATTGTTTATTGTCCTCAGAACTCTGAGGGTACACATTCAGTCTTATTCAGTCTGAAAGAAGCAGGCTGAAGAATTTTGACCCAGGACTTCAGGTGGATCATGAATTACAGTTTTTTTTTCCTTAAGAAAAATAAAGAGTAGCTCAGCATACTATTTCCAGCACACTGCCTGCACATGCCATGGGGGGAAAGCTGAAAATAGTGAGAAGCAATTAGGATGTCACAGACTTTGAACCCTGGGGATATCGTTTGAGGTTGTGTTCGGAGAGGAAAGTTAAATGTAAGGAGAAAAGATCATAAAAGGAAAAGACTCGTAGCAGAGAACAAGTGCACACTATTCTTGCTGTGCCACTAGAGAAGAAAGCTCTTAGTAGAAAGGCTCTTAGACAGAAGCCTAATATATGCAAGAGGTGGATTACTTTATTAGTAATAAAGCTACATAAAGTAAGCCAAAATATGGAATACTTTAAAATTTTAAAGCAGTATTTTCAATATTGGCAGGACACTTAATTTAATTTGAAAAAATTTGTCCGTACACACTTGCTTCTCCCCAAGACCTCATCTCGATTAATTCTCTTACCTAGTGCACCATCTGTTCTGTGTCGAGAATCCTGCAATTTCCAAACAAAGTTTAGTCAAGATATCTAGGTCTAATAAGTAGACCCTAATGCCAAGGGGAGACTGTACTTGCCTTTACCTCCCAAAAACTCAGAATGAAAAATTGATTAATACAGGAGGGCAGGCTCTAGCCATTATTCCAAGCTTCAGCTTGAGTTTTTTTAAATGTCAAAATCCGTAGTGGAAGCATATTCTACAAAGCTGCAAGTTTACACAGGCATCTGACTATAACAAACAGCAATTAATACATGGTAACAGAGCTGAGCACAGTGTAAACAAGTTAGCAGCTTCCATGACAGCAGTGTGGACAGAGTCCTGCTGGATTCAATTAAGCCTTAGGAAACAGGCAAGTGGAGAACTGCCTTCAGGTAGAATACAATATTGCCAATCAGAAATATGAAACTGAACCTGGTTTAGCAAATTTCACTGTAAATGAAGATAATGTGTCAGTGTAAATATCTGTCATTTGGCTCCGTCTTGTGATTATTTAAGCGTAAAGAAGCTTAGCATTTCTTCTCTGTTGTTCACGATGAACAATTTTCATGGCACTTCATCAGAATCAAAGTTTAAATGGCTTTAGGTCCAATCTCTTGCAGTGTGTACAGTAAGAACAAGAGCAATTCATCCAAAGTGTGGAGAGAAATTCCCAGCATGTACTGTACCTCACAGATTTTTTTTTCTATTTTAGAAGGAGGGACCAGCACCAGGCCAGTATCATGTCACAAAGCAGTCAGGCCAGCATGCTATCACTTCTTGTTTCCGGTCAACAGTGCCCCGTCTGGTCACCCCTCGCTCAGTGAGTATCATACTGATGAGCAATATTTACTCCTGGTCCTGGAGGGCTACAATCTGCCTTTACAAGGAACCTATGAGTAAATACTTGAAAACAGTGCAGATATAGATCAATGAAATGAACAACTGATTTCAGATTTAGTCAATAAGAGCTTAGGGCAGAATTAAAACCAGAAGACATGGTGTCCCCCCAGGACCAGGAATGAATATCAGTGACAAATCTCATTTAAAGGGAAACTAATTCAAAAGATTTTATGCAGATTTTAGTCTACTTTAAATTATATTTCACTGGAGAACTCAATGAAAATGTCAACATGTGCATTATCTAATCATGTCCTATATATATAAGCACTTCTCAGGAGAAGAGCTTTCCTGTTTCCAGTGTGTATTTTGCTGGCTCATCTTTCCCTGAAAGTTCTCTGGAGCTTTAGTGGCACAAAGGAAATAAAAGTTAAACACAAACAACCCTGAAGCCTGCATGTTGCAATCAAATGTTTTTCTTAGAGGGAGAAACTTTTCTGACCTTCTTTCAGCTTCAGCAGGAAGCAATGACAGATTACCAAGAGATCTCATCCTTTTCTAGCCTGCGTTAGTGCAGCACTGAGAAATTAAACTTGTTCATCAGAATTGCAAGCATCCACTCTGTGATTGCAGAAGGATTACAGACGGGCACAGTTTGGATCTGGACTGATACTGCCTGTGAATGGTGACCACTGTGCTGTCCTCTGCCGTTGCAGAAAACTCCTGGCCCTGGTACATATGAACCCCTATGGCAGACGACTTGGCTCCTGAAGAGAGGCTCAGCAACGGAACGTGTGCATGGTCTTTTCTTCCGCAATATGTTAGAGATGTAAAATTTTACTGTTTAATAGAAATAAGTTCATGTTGGAAGATGACGGAAGCTACAGTACTAATGGAAAAATCAATATGTAAAAAAAGATCAGACAAATTAAGGAAGTATGCATGCCCACTTATACAGCTCCTTTAAACGTCTAAATGCACAGTGTTTGTGTGTTGTGTTAGGCCCTGGTTAAGAATGGTTGGAGACCCGTTTCCACAGTGCAGTGGCAGCAGGCTTTAAGCCTTACCCCTGGAGTATTTCAAACCTGTTTATTTAAACTCCGTTTTAGTGAGCAAAGTATCCCTGGAACCTTCCCCATGCTGACACTAGTTCTTTTTTCAACACAGGACCAAAACATACAATGAAATACACACCAAAAATAAGCCACCAGCATTCTGAGATCAAAAAAGAGTGATACTTCCTTAGAAGCTGTAATATAGGACTTTTACTCAACCAGTTTATCTTCAGACCTGCCAGATTTCTGATAATCATCAGCTTACCCTCAAACATGTTAAAAACACACACACACAGCTCCCTGATTGAGAAATTGTCTATTACCTCTAGATAAGAAAAATTAAATGATTGCATTTGTAATGGCTTCATTTTATCTGCAGTGTCTATGGTAATGGAGTATGAGCAGGATGCACTCTTTTGTCAGTTTGCCACATACAGTCAATTGACCTGTGAGAAGTGAGTGTACAAAGTGCACAACTTTTTCCACAGCATGAAAAAGTTTCTTGCCGACTGTCAATCACAGCCCCCTTCTGCTGTGAGAGCCTGCCAGTTTCTTCTGACAAATCTCACATGCAACTGCAATCAAACTGATTTTCTGCTGATTTGATATATCTGGAAAAGGTTGGTCTATGTCTGCTGGAAAGTGAAAGTCAGAGAAAGTGAAAAGTAGTCTATTTGGCTGTAATTGTAATGGTTTGCTATCCTTAGATACACATAGTACGTGATCATCAGGCTTGCTTTTGCATATAAGCAAGTGAAATTAGCCATCGAAGAAAAACTTCAGGGCTAGTTAATTTCATCATAATATTCTTGGAGAAGAAACCCGAGCCCTACTGATGGGTGCATTGAGATATATAGGCAAAATCCTGTGCTTAATGCTGCTGTGACTATAAACTACAAGCAGGGGTGGCAATGCTCTGCACTAGTAATGACATGTGGAACGGAGTCTAGACAGCTCTATCACTTCATTTTACTGCTTTATTAAGGATGCCGTTTTTAGATCAGTGAGTCACTTCCTTGCTATTTCCCACCGTATATTTTAATAGCACTCCCGAGCTGCATGTTAACAGCTGCAGAGAGACTCCTCCACCCCATCTCCATGTTAACGATCCGTTGACTTGTGGCACAGAAAAACACTTTCATTAGAGGCAGGGAAAGCAGTGGGGTTGCATCTTATCACGTCATCAAGGGATGATGACATTCATAAAAGTTCACTGATGGCTAACTGAATAAGTGCAGTGCTGTCAATTTTGGCAACACATGAATGTCAAAATCTCAGTTTTGAAACATTTTGTAGAGACGGCTGTGTGCAATGGAAGATCTTCATAAAGCAGTGATTCACGGGAAGGTTGAACCTCTGGATTTAAATAGTAACTTTGATTATGAAAGAGTCCTGGGGTTTCTGAATGCGAGCCGATTAGTGCAGGTTTGGCAGTGTCGAGAACAAACAGGCATTGAAAGGTCTGCAAGCAGCTGGCTGTTGTACATCTTTTAAAATCAAGAGAATTAAGGTTCTGTATACAGAGCTCCATAGTGCCCTGTTACAATCCCCACATCACCCATGCTCGTGATCCTTCACTACTCAAAGGTTAAATAGTATTAACCTGTAGGAATGATTTTACCAGCTCTAATAGGGTTTAGCCTACTTTCCCCACTACAACTGCTACTCAGAGAAGCCTCTGAAAAATGGTTTCCAGGTAACAAAGGCAAGCAACTTTTATGGAATCCATTAATTTTGGAAAAAGGAAATATCCCCCTCAAGAGGGGAAAAGTACATCACAGAAGTAGAAGCTTTTAGATCTGCTTTAACAGCAGAACAAGAGCCAGACTCAGCTTAATCTAATCTATCAATGTGGGACAGAATGTACCCAATCTTTACAGTTCTTCCCTTTAAATGACATGAGTGGTAAGATTTTAGACAGCAGTACTGGTATTATTCTAGTGCAGAGATACACACTGCATATGTGGTAATACTGTACATAGTCTGTACCCAAAGATGACAGAGCTGTAATAAATGAATGACTTGAACATATGATTGCTTTTGAATAAAATTTGAAGCAGTATTGATTTACATTTTCACCTAAATGAGCCTTGTGACACATCTACAACTGTTAATGGCAAGCAAATTGATAAAACTATCCTTTGAGGTTTACACCACCTTAAAAGATTTTTTTAGCAGTCTGAAAACAATGAGTCATCTTAACTAATTCACACCACCAGAGGCCTGGTTGCTAAGACTATTGGTGCATCTGCCTCAGCACTCTCATGAAAGGACCATTTCCTGTGATGGGATCTTATTTAATCCATCCTACTGTGAATGAGAAATGACTTGGGGACTGTCTGATACAGTCTGCCATATTAAAAGCCCAGTAAGTCATAACCGGAGTATTCCTTAGACTGACCAGCTTGCCTCTAATGTAACAAATTAGAAGATCTTCTTTGGAAAAATCCATTAGCTATCAAAGTCTCTACATATAATCAAAAGAAATAAAATGAAAACCGCTACTTTTCTGTACTAAAGCTTTTTAATTTCTATTGAAACATAGGGACAAAATGCATCCTTCAGCAATTTGAAAGTATTGGGAGTGTCTTAGAAACAATATAAATACAACAAATAAGACACAAATAAGGTACATGGCAATGAGCAATTCATTGATAGCTGAAAGGCGATGACCAATGCAGGATTTATATTTAATGCAGTTTTATACATCAGGCTGCAGGAAAAGAAGCCTTCCCCCAGAAAGTGATAACTTTAACTGAATAGTTTCGATTTCATTACCTTGTTTTAATACTACCCCAGAAGCACAATGTGTTTTTTTTAACATTGCTATTACATGCGTGATATTTTCTTTCAATGGATATTGAAATATAGGGAGAGGTCTTGTCAGGTGAAGCTCATCGAGTCTCATAGCATAGAGAAATTCGGGATGAATATACAGGATTTTGTGGTTTTTAAAGTGTTTTATTAGCTCAACGAATTATAACCCTAGAAACCTTTTCACTGACTTTATGGTACTTCTTGTAATTATTGATTGTGATTCAGTCTTTGGTTTATATTGTATTGCAGTGAATACATTTGTATTTCTTCTTTATGGAAATCACAGCAGATGAAAGTCTATGGAATTGATCCGAAATACAGCAAGAAGCAATGATCAAAGGAAATAATTGTCTGACAGCCTTAAGAAAAAACATTTTAATTGAAAACCAGTTTCTATCATTGTTCTTACAGTCAAGCTACCAACAGATACCAGTGGTTATTTTTTTGACATTTGAAACGCCTGCTAGAATAAACCAATGCAAACATTAT